GGCAAATAATACTTTGCTAATAATAGGGTGTTATAAGTATCAAAAGAGTTGATATTTATAAAGTGCCTAGAACAGTGCTTGGCTCACTCATAAAAGGCAACTATTATTACTAACAATGTCCAAACACAGTAGATAACAGATGTTAACAGACAGGGTGAAAAATCTCTCACAAGCAAAACCGATAGTACTGCAAGGACATAAATAAATAATAATTAGTAATCTATTTGATGGAAACTATTAGATGAAAGATTTACACTAAAGTCGATGAGAACTTTTAAAGGATACTCCTAATTAAAAAGAATTCCTCCACCAACTCTGACCACCAATTTACAGGCCCACTTTCAACAGACTGACCTACATCCTAGAAATGGAGATTTCTCCCAAAAGCCACATGTCCTAGTCTCAGGTTGGATCTGGTGGCCACCAGCGGGCATACTGTTTGTTGCAAAGAGCAGTGGAAAAGAGGCATCACTAAAAAGCTTTTCACAATGGACAGAGCAACTGTTCTATTCTAGAAGGGAAAAAGGACTCAGGGCCAGGTAGTGAGGGTGTGACCTAGGACAGGTTCCAAGTATAACAACCCCACTGAATTCTAACTTACCTTCACAAAGTCTCCACCCAGGTACCCACCTTGTCCTCTCAGCCTCCTCCAGTTGTATTCCATCACCCAGTAGCTATCCCCAGCATCTTAATACTCACTGCTTAATATATTTTCTACTGAAACCAACTTGGTAGTTGGTTAGTTCACAAACAGCCCCAAAGTAGTTGATTCATAGTGCAGCCAATTACAATAGACTAATTTCTACTATTTATATTTATCTATGGGGAGCAGTCCTATGCTACAAAAATTTTTATGCAATTCACAAATGACTTAAAGCCCAAAACTATACATTCAGTAGAAAACAAGGATTTGTTTGTCTGCTTTATCAGAGCTCAAAGTAAAACAGAATTTCAGTGGGTAACATAGCTCCTGCTTCCTTAAACTACAAGAACAAGTGACCAATTTACCACTCAGATCTACTACCAGCTTCCATCTTTCTAGAAGTGTGCAAAACACTGAAAATCTAAATTATTCCTATCCCTATTACATCACCAACCTACAATACTTGTTCTACTCAAAAGCAGTTGCCCCAGGCTCAGATAATGACTGGGTGACCTGAATAGATTTAGGCTAACATCACTTCATCCCAATCAAGAAAAAGCAAAGAACTGACCTGACATCTGGCAGTACAGCAGCCTTAATTACAGAATAATCACTTGTTGAAGCATTGTTGGGATCTACAATGGTCTCAAAAATTACTCTCCATCCCTAAAACAAGAGTTAGTGGTATGGGACCAAAATCAGTGAGAGGTAGGCAGAATAAGAAGAGCTGCTCTGAAGGCAGCATTGAGATTAGGATACTGAGCCTTAGGCCAAGAACAGAGAGCTGAGCCTAGAACTCCAGCCCCTCGTAAGAATCCCAGCTCAAAATGAAGGTTTCAAATCAGTAGCATACCCAGGCTCCTGATGGAAACAAACTCAAATTATCTCGCAAGAAAAAACATCTCCAGTTTATGCCTCCTGGAATCCTACAGGTTAAGATAAAGCAATGATTACAAAGATTAACAAGCACAGTGGAGAGAACAAGCCGCCATGAATTTGAGTCAATGGAGACAGTCCAAAGGTTGCATATACCAGAACTGTCAAATAAAGAATAAGAACAGGCTGGGTGAGGTAGCTCACATCTGTAATCCCAACATTTTGAGTGGCCAAGATGGGAGGATCACTTGAGGCCAGCCATTGAAAACCAGCCTGGGCAATATACCAAGACCTCGATTCTACAAAATATATTTTTAAAAAGCTAGCCAGGCATAGTGGCATGCACCTATAGTCCTAGCTACTTGGGAGACTGAGGCAGCATTACTTAAGCCCAGGAATTAGAGGTTACAGTGAGCTATGATCAGGCCACTGCAATCCCTGGGCAACAAAGCAAGACCCTGTCTCAAAAAAAAAAAGAAAAAGAAGACGAAGAAGACGAAGAAGACGAAGAAGAAGACGAAGACGAAGACGAAGACGAAGAAGACGACGAAGACGACGAAGACGACGAAGACGACGAAGAAGACGACGACGAAGACGACGACGAAGACGACGACGACGACGACGACGACGAAGACGACGACGAAGACGACGACGAAGAAGAAGAAGAAGAAGAAGAACAGCCAAGTAGGAAACATTGAAAGAAAGAAAGAAATGAATAAGAAATAAGGGCCTATCAAGAATGTCCAGGTAAGCCTGATGTGGTGGCTCACACCGGTAATCCTAGCACTCTGGGAGGCTGAGGTGAGAGGATCGCTTGAGCTCAGGAGTTCGAGACCAGCCTGAGCAAGAGTGAGACCCCATCTCTACTAAAAACAGAAAAAAATTAACCGGGCATGGCAGCACACACCTGTATTTCCAGCTACTTGGGAGGCTGAGGCAGAAGGATACCTTGAGCCCAGGAGTTTGATGTTGCTGTGAGCTAGGTTGATACCATGGCATTCTAGTCTGGGCAACTGAGGGAGACTCTGTGTCAAAAAAAAAAAAAGAAAAAAGAAAAAGAAAGAAAGAAATGTCCAGGTAGATTTGAAAAAAAAAAACAAACAGAACTTATTAAAATAAAAAATAATTGCTATAATCAAATATTTAGAAAAAGTTAAACAGCAGAGTAGACATAGCTGATGACAGAATTAGTAAACAGGAAGATATAGTTAAAGAAATTACAATGTAAGCACAAATCTAAATTATTTTCAAAGATTACAAAGAGTCCAAATTACTCCTAAATTAATTACAAAGTCATGATTCAAATCAGACTCCCACCCAAAAACACAGTATTTTTGATGTGTTATTAGCTTTAGAGCTTAAAAGTATTATCTTTTTTATGTCATCTTTACAATAACCCTTTTAATAAGTGGCAGGCAGAGGTAGTCAATATGGCTGGCATACATAAGAGTGAAAAACAGCCCAGAGACTACAAAACAAATCACCTCATACATCCTTCAATGAAACTAAACCAAAATATTAATTTAGGTCTTATTTTCATGACCTCTTTCCTGGAAATGAGTCACAGAAAATCACACCACGGGAGTTAAGACAAAATGGAATGAGATTATTATCCCAGACATTAGACTATAAAAGGAAGAAAAGTCATTGTTCCAGTGGATTCTTCTCACATTAGGCAGAATCTTTTATTGCCAAGTTAATTCTACCCCCATTGATTTGTCAGATCTGTCAAGATAACAATCATCAAATCCACATTTAATTCTTCTGCAAAATGTCACTATTCCTATGACCATTTTGATACTTAATTTACCATTATTAATCTACGCTTTTCCTCATTTTCAGTATTCTGATACATCTCTTAGCTCTGCTCTCAGTTTTACTCAACTATAATTTTTACTAAATGTTATACTTAGCAACTGGTTCACAAACTAGTATTCCCTTAATTTGTGAATCATAACCTAAATTCCTCACATTTTTTACTTGTCCACGGAAGGCAAATGTACTAGTACTTACACTAGTACTATCACTTAAAAACAATGTTTTTCCATACTTCTAAGTAAAATGGAAGGATCGATGTTAAATTTCAATTCTGTTGGACTCACCCCAAATCTATGAACCTTCTGTTACTTATTTACACACACGTATATATAGCAAATAAAACGATACTGCCTATTCTTTCACTAGTTGATACCAACAAAAAGACTTACAAGGCGCTAATCATAACACTTCTCTTGAGTGTTAAAATAAAAAAAGCAAACCAGAATAACAAGTTTCAAATATTTAGACTTCTTTCCAAACTAAACACAACATTCTTTAGCAGTGACCACACAGCCCGCCAAGTTTTAAAACTAGCTGTTTCAACTTGGAAAAGTATATCTACCTTAAAAGTTGTTAAATCTACTTTAAAAGTTATTGGGCCACCGAATCAAGACTGAGACCTCATCCTTATAAAAAAAATAGAAAAATTATCCAGGCTAGCATGCCTGTAGTCCCAGCTACCTGGGAGATTGAGGCAGGAGGATCTCTTGAGCCCAGGAGTTTTGAGGTTGCAGTGAGCTATGATGATGCCACTGCACTATAGCCCAGGTGACAGAACTAGACCCTGCTTCAAAAAAAAAAAGTTCTTATTGGATTAAAATATTATGCAGCAAAAAATACTATCACCTAAAAGTTCACTTTGACATGTCGTATCCCCTCTTACACTAGAGGGGAAGGGAAAAGTCCGACTTTAAAAATGCAATGTCCTCCTAGATGACGTCAACACATATACATTTGAACTGCTTTTCACACATCAGCTTTAAGAAATTTGGGGCAACACAAAGATCAATGCATTTGACACAGGATCCAAATAGAATTGGACCCTGTCACTGTCGATCTATGACGATGGTAAGCTCTGGATAGCTAGAACAAAATTTAGTTCCCCAGTCCCTGTGGGCCCACCCTGGGCTGTCAGCGCCAAGCCACACTTACAAACTTGGGGCGTTTCTCCCCAGGCTCCTCGGGGCCACCGGGCGGCGGAGGGTGCTGGGGGCCCTTCTTGCGAGGCATCTTGCTCTCCCGGCAGCTGCGGACCGAGCCGGAGGAAGGGTAGGGAGCCCCAGCGGCGGAACCGTGGACCTGGTGGTGCAGGCGCGACCGGGGCCGGTGCCGCTCCATCTCTCCCCTCAACTCCAGGGGAGGCGGAAAGAAGGTGGCCACTCAGCAAGACACAAGCTAGGGGATCAGGAATACACGGCGGGTTTCCCTCCCCGGGTCCGCCGCCCACGCCGTCAGCCCAGCCCAGTCCAACCGCTGTAGCTGGGTTCGCAGCCAACACATACGAAAACTCCCGCCACCCGGGCCGCCCGGGACTCGCCAATCCCGGGCCGCCGGGTCAATGACACGCCGGGGGACCGCCCCTTCCGGCTGTACCGAAATGTGATTGGCTGGTCCGTCTGTCCATTTCGCCACCCAACCCTTCAGGCGGTCCAGGCCGCTCACCTTAAGGGCGTAGGGTGAGGTCAGATTTGTAGAAACGCGCGGAAGAACCGAAGGAAGCGTTTGCCTGGATTTATTTGGAATTTGGAGAACAGCTTCCGGCCAAACTGGCAAGCGGGCGAGAATGGCTCCGAGCCACCGTTTGGTCAGCGCTCGAATGTAAAATCATCTGCTAACCTTCTCTTTGCCTGTCTGGGGAAGCCTGGTGCGATGACCGCTGGGAAGTGTAGTTCCAGGGTCTCTGCTTGAAGGGGTGCTGGGAGGGAATGACAGCGCCCACGAAGCTCCAAAAGGAGGCTTCCTCGATGTATTTACTGAGCGCCTGCTGAATGCCTAAATGCTAAGTACTTAATTGGGTGCCATAGGTGTCCACCGCGCCCTTTAGGAGCTCACAGTCTAATGTGGTTAGCTACCCCTTACACAATTCGCAAGTGTTATAGCAGTTGTTTTTAAAAGTTCCTTAAGAACAAAGAGGACAGAGAATAAATCAGAAGGAGCATATCTGGAAGGTAAAAGGAAGGATGCATAGATTTTCACTAGGCAGAAAAGAGCGGCAGGGCATTCCACGCAGGAGCAAGGCCAAGAGGGTTCAAGAGCATAGAGATGAAGAAACTTCAGGGTCACGTTATGAGGAGCTATGAACTGAAACCATGCAATGGAGTCTGTTATGTAAACCCACAATCAACCTATAAGACTAACACAGGTTCCTCATGTGTCAGTGTAACCAGGCCTCTGTCAAACAAATTTCAGTGCCCCCTATAATAATAATCCTCTCAACTACTTTTTTTTTTTTTTTTTGAGACAGAGTCTCGCTCTGTTGCCGGGGCTAGAGTCCCATGGCATTAGCCTAGCTCGCAGCAACCTCAAACTCCTGGGCTCAAGCAATCCTCCTGCCTCAGCCTCCCGAGTAGCTAGGACTACAGGTATGTGCCACCATGCCCGGCTAAGTTTTTCTATATATTTTTAGTTGGTCAATTAATTTCTATTATTTTAGTAGAGACTGGGTTTTGTTCTTGCTCAGGCTGGTTTTGAACTCCTGACCTTGAGCAATCCTCCTGCTTCAGCCTCCCAGAGTGCTAGAATTACAGGTTTGAGCCACTGCCGCCACCCTGCCGGCCCCTATCAACTACTTGACCCTTTAAGTTGTTTCCCAGAAATGGTGGATTTTTCTGCAAGACAAGGGAGCTGAGATTCTGAAGGCCAAAAATTGCCATCCCCCACAACCTGTCCCCAGTGCACCTAGTTTCTAGTTACACAACAACTTACAACAAGGCACTGGCCTCTTCTATAAAAGCCCATGATCTCATTAGTCAGAGAGGTGGATTTGAAGAAGCTTTTCCCAATCTCCCAACGAGACATTCCTGTTAAAAATTCCTTTCTTCCTTGGCAATACTGGCTGTCTCAACAATGGGATCTTTGTGCCACAAGCAATTGGATCTAGACCAAAACCTCCTTGCAGTTTTGACATCAGTGTACTTTTCCCCCTTTGAAAGTCAACTTTTCCTTTTAGCTATTTCTTTGAGGTATCTATCCTTTGACTATATGAAGGTGGTGTGGGCCAAGACTCTGGTAAATATGCAGTATCGATTTTGGTAAAAGATACAAGGAACGCTAGGTACTGTGAGATTAGCACAGAGGTGCAGAAAATGGTGGGCCTGTCCCAAGGAAGCCTTCAAGCTACAGCTTTTTAATTTTCAGTGTTTGTTTTTAGTGTGCCAGACTCTATACCGCTCTCAGTCCTGAAAGAGCACCTAATCTTTAAGGAAACTCCAGAAGAACAGTAAGGTCAGAAGAACTACAAGTGTTAGGTAGATAGGAATTCCAGAGGTGTTGGAATTTCTAATAGGTGTTAGAAACACTGAAGGAGGAATGCACAAGGACAGAATAGGTGAAAAGTTTATTTTAACATCTGCATGGATGGGGTGAGTGTTCAGGGCTTTTAAGGGCAGATTTGGGCAGCTTCCCCTCCCCAGCAAAGGGAGTGTGGGGCTATCTTGCATAAGCCAGAAAGACCTTGCAAGAGCAGGATACCAAGTTTTGGCTGTTTATGTAAATGTAACGGCACCAAAGGCGGGAGGGTTGAGGGTCTAAAGGTCAAGCCTCCATGGAATTTTCTACTGGCCTCTGAATTCAGCCTAATGCTACAGACAGAACTGAGTGCTGTTGCAGTTCACCAACTCAAATGGAGGTTCAGGGAGGCTCATGGGAGATCGGCATGCTCAGTAAGACTCAGGTCATATAATTCCCAACTGACCAATCAAAGTGCTTCCATGGTAACATCTGAGCCACAAGGGAAGGCCCAATCCAGACACTATAAAATAAGACCCAGACCATAACCAAGCCCTTTTCTTTCTTTCTCTTTTGCTATGGTAATGGGACCAGTCATCTGCGGCATATTTATCTTGCTCTGTAAACCTGTATCTTGCTCTTGCTCTGTAATCCTATCTTTCTGTCCTCAATAAAGCTCATTTTTGTGCTTGACTTACTTTGGTGTGTCTGGTCATTCTTTGGCCATGAGCGCACCAAGAACCAACATTTCAGACTGCAACCTGACAGAAGTATTTCCTTATACTCCTTTGTCTTATTTATGTCTTGATGACAGTTGGACCCAGATACAAATTTTATTCCTGTGATATACTATCTATTTGATTTTGGAGATGATGTTTAACTTGTTTTGCTACTTCATCTACAAAAGGGGGACAATTATATTAACAGTAATAACTACCAAATAGGTGTATTTTCAGGGTTATGTGAAATAGCATATATAAACTATCAATGCTTTCCAGCCAAAGACCACCAGGAGGAATACCTGTAGCTGAACAAGTTGAGTTTATTACTCACCGGAAGCCAGAACTGGTATTTTGGGGAACCATGGGATATCTTAGAAAGAGTATGTTAGAAAGCTCTTAAAGAACTTGAGCTTTGGTTATGTGATCTGAGGAAGACTTCATGCAACAGGGTTGCACAAGATTAGGTAGTGTCAGGGAGTGGGGACTATTCAGTGATTGGGTATCTTCATCTTATCTAGGAGGGTAGCAAGATAAAGAGCAAGGCTAAAGCTGTAACTGACAAAGGCATTAGTCATCCATATCATCAGGAAAAATGGAGATGTTTACTGTTAAAAGACAAAATTAAAATCTATTAATAGTTTAAGTAATATAATTGGCTTTTATTTGTGACTCTAGAATCCCTGAGCTGAACAGAAGAGGCTAGCTTTGTAGCCAGAAAGGGGCTGGAGGAAGCAGAAATAAGGAATGAGAAGCAAAACGGTTGTTTCAAAGTTACTTTCCTTATAGGGTTAAAACAGAGGGAACATTCTTATCATGCCAGATTAGGTGAATTTGGCCTCTTCTGACTGGTTGCTATGCATGTCCTTTGTTGTTGTTGTTGGAAAACTGGCCCATTTCAGAGTGTAGTTTGATTATGTGGTGACAGCATGAGTCAATCCAATCAGGTTTGATCTGGTCTGCCGAGGTCTAGTATAGGAACTTAGTCCAAAACTAACATGATCCATAATGGCTTCTCATTAATTTATTTAACACTGGTATTTTGTGATTTCTACACTGACATTTTTGTTGTCCCTGACTAAACAAAATTTGGAAGTGGTCTTGCTTTGTCTCACTTCATCATGGTCACAGAGTGACCTTGTCTGATATTGGTATTCAGTGAGATACTGCCCATCAAGAGAACAACATGGCCTATCTGTGCATGTCAGGCCAGTTTCTAAAAACACTTAGGCCTACTTGGAAGTATCAATCTAGTTTCCTGATGTCAAGGGCTGCTTTTTTATTTCTCACGTCACATAGCAGGTACTAAATATTATATAAATAAGTTGGAGCTATTATAGTTAATTTTCAAGTTTTCATAGAGCAATCTGAATTTTTTCTCATAGAAACTCATTGGAACTGCAATACACCAGTGCAAATAATATCTTTGTATAAGTTTTACATTTTTGTTTTTATTTGTTTATTTGTTTGAGACAGGGTTTCACTTTGCAACCCAGGCTGGAGTGCAATGGTGCAATCAGAGCACACTGTAGCCTCAAACTCCTGGGCTCAAACAATCCTCCTGCCCCAGCCTTCTGCTCCAGCTAGGACTACCAGTGTGTGCCACCACATCCAGCAAAGTTTTACATTTGTTGTAGAATATTTTATATTCCTTATTTAAACTTGTGTCATTATTTATACCTCACAACAGCATACACTAACCCTCATTCTGATCACCTGATACCAATGATATAGCCCACTGGGTCAACAATTTTGGATATAGCCCACTGGGTCATTAATTTTGGAAATTCTACTTTGTGCCAGGTTCAGTGCACTGAGCTGGGACAAAGTTGAAGGTAACAAAAGGCATGCCTGGAAAAGTTGGCAATCAGGAATACTTTTCTTTCCTTTATCATTTCTGTTTAGTCTCAACATCCAATTACTAATGCCATCCTTCACCTAGTGAATCTTCATTGAGGGTTCACCCTTAATGACTATATGAGATAGTTGTGGAAAGTTGAGGGAAGGAATTGATCATACCTAATCAATTTTTCTAAATGAGATATCATTTTATCCTTATTAAATTGGCAGATATTATGAAGTCCCATGTCACCAAATTTTGGCCAAGATGTAGGGACATAGGAATTCCTACATAGATGGTGGGAGTACGAAACTGGTACAACCACTTTGGACAACATTTTGGTAATATCTAGGAAAGGTGAAGGTACAAGTACCTATGACCCAGCAAATCCATGTCTAGATATCTCCCTGGAGAAGCCTAGAAATACACTTACAAAGATATTCCTTAAATATTTTGTAATAGCAAAAATGGGTAAACTATTTAACTGTACCAAAGTAAGGGAAGGAGTAAATTCATGAAGGTTTATTACACAATGGAAACCCCTACTGCATTTAAAATAAATAATCAGGCCTATATATGGATAAATCTCCAAAACAAAGAGAAAAATCAAGTTGCAAAATATATATAAACTACATAATGCCAACAAAATCACATATATACATATGTGTACATATATATGTATATATGTCTATGTTTATGTGTATACATATTATGTATGTATGTATGTCCATATAATAACACTGTAAAAACACAAGGGAAATACACACAACAACTTCACCTGCTTCTAGTGAGGAAAGGAAAAAGTGGGAAGGAATTAAAGCTGAAATTTTATAACTACATTCTCTATAAATGTTTTATTTATTAAAAGGGAAAGATCTGAAGAAAATCTAGCAAAATGTTAACATGTATTTAATCTCAGTGGTGGGTATAAGGGTGTCTATTTTACTATTATCTATAATTTTCTTTGTTGGAAATGTTTCATATTAAATTTTTCACAAAATGTACAAATTAAGAACAAAATAGAAATTTTAGAGATAGGTCCCTTAATTCTTTATATTCCTGCACAAATTCTTGGTTTATTGGTATTGAGTCCACAATGAGCTATTAAGTCCATCTAAGGAAGTATAAAAGTATAAAATAATTAATTTCCTTTTAGGATGACTTTATTTTTTTCAATTCTGAGTAAAAAATAAATTCTCTCCCCTCTACTCTGCCTTTCCACTTTCTTCTGTTTTCTTCTTACATCTCTTACTTTTCTCTCTCTTAAATTAACGCAGAGACACAGAGCAAAGAGACAAGGAAAGCCACTACAATTTCACTCTTCCAGTTTCAGCTTAAACTAAAAATTCAGTTATTTATCAGACATGCTTTCCCAGTGGTCATGAAACATTCAATTACAAGTCTAATTCAAAACTTAATTGATTTAGCTTTACTACTTTCATCTTTATTTTACCACCTGACTACAGTGGAAGTATACTTCACTGTACACAAATCTTACAGCATTTTGTACTTAGTGATAGGGTATTAGAATAATTATCAGGCCAACAGCACTGGCTTTGCACCTTCATTTCAAAACCTCAATGGCAAGATATAACGGTGTCACTTGCTCTACCAAAATTAGGGCATGGTGTCTTCCACACAGTCCACATACTTGTCTTTCTTGGTTAAAATTGCTGAAACTGGATTTGAGAAGGACAGAGCAGGAAATGTCAAGGTTGAATCTGGTCAGAAAGGACTCAGAAGAGCCTGACTCAAATTTGGTTGAAAGAAAAATCTGTCAGTACACAGGCAAAGGCTGGGAACAGTGGCTCACGCCTATAATCCCAGCACTTTGGAGGCCAAGGTGGGAGGAATATTTGAGGCCAGGAGTTCAAGACCAGCCAGGGCAACATAGCAAGACCCTGTCTCTACAAAAAAGTTAAAAAATTAGCCAGCATGGTGGCGTGTGCCTCTAGTCTCGGCTACTCAGCTATGATGATGCCACTGCACTCTAGCCCAGGCAACAAAGCAAGACCCTGTATTCAAAAAATATATATATACACAAAGAAGGAATTGCTGTATCATACTTTAACCTTATGTTTGAGGAACTGCCTGATGTTTTCAAAGTGGCTGCACCATTTTGCACTCCCACCAGCAATATATGAGGATTCCAATTTTGCCACATCTTCATCAACGACTTTTTTATGTGATTTTTTTAATGTAGCCATCCTGGTGGGTGCAAAGTGGTTTTGATTTGCCACCTGTTTTTGGTAAAGAAAATGTTATTGGAATCCAGGCACACTCATTCCTTTATATACTGTCTATAGCTGCTTTTGCTCTACAACAGTAAAGTTAAGTAGTTGCAACAGATACCACATGGCCTAAAACATTTGCTATCTGACCCTTTATAGAAGATGTTTTCTAACCCCTGCTAAATGATTTTTTTTCCATTGGTGTATCACAATTGCTTTTGTTTGGTAGGTTATTTCTTTTTCTTCAGTGAGAGTAGTATTTTAATAAAAAGCAAATATTAATTTTGGATAATTATTCATGCTGGAGCTGAGTACTTACCTTTGATATTTTATACACCCACACCTTTTCTCTTTAATCTGTTTAACAAGGTCAAGAAGATCTTGCCACCATAAGGAATCACTGTGGAAAACAGAGTTGATTTAAGGTATGTATGAAAAGCTAAATTATATGGATATGTTATTCTTCTTAAAATACATTTAAGCAATTTGTGCTCTGATAAGTTTTCTCCAGGGTCTTATGCTCTAAGTTCAGATAGAAATTCTTCATAGGAAATGTAATTAGTATAACACAGTTTAATGTCATGGTTAATAGTTTCCCAGAATGTTTTGATTAGAAAATTAATCTGCCCATGTTTGTAGATGATAGAACCATTTAAAGGAGAACAGAAATATTCCTATTAGTGTGATATACTTAACTAAGGTTCAGTTGAAAGTATTAGATGTCACTACCAGATCACATTCCCAATATTTAAATAAGTAGGAAAAAGGAATTAGGTAATTATTAAGACTGTTGTAAGATTATAGTTTAATTCCTTCATATTAAAACATAATTACTAAAGCCTAAATATAATTTGTTGAGTCACTTGGAAAATAATTTGTCTGACAATAGCAAATAGTAACTATGTCATTCAAAGCTAAAAATAAATGTAATAAGCTATAAGAATTCTATGGTGCCCAATTTTCAAATTGTCTTTTTCTTTCATCTATATCTCTATCGCATCACCATATGTGCTCTTCTTTTTTTATCCTCAAGAGAATTGCTGTGTTCTGGACATTCCTTAAGATCAAATGTATATAAAGCCTGTCTTTATTGAGATTTCTTCTTAAGGCATCCAATTGTGTGCATTATTTGCTTTGTGTTCTGTTTAACCTAACCTGTCTTAATACAATAGACTAAAAATTATTTACTCAGTTTGCTTTGATAACATGTTGTTTATATTTGGGTCACAAAAGGGTAATGTATAATTAGTTGCTACTTAGAAAAGTTAGCATCCTTACTGTTTTGCTTAGATGTCTGAAATACTTACCGTTTTATGTGGAATCAAGCTGTGCTTGCTCACTGTCCTGACACTATCGTCACAAGTCACCAGAGAGCTTTATACTGTGAGATCCTCATTCTCAGTCTTTAATCTTTTATTTGCTGCTGTTGATTACAGTATCCTTCTTAGACTGTTTCCTCATTTATGTCTCTCATAATCTCTCTAAACATTCTTTCCCTGACCTCTGCTTGGGCTTTTCTTTCTGCTGGTGTGACAGTGTGCCTCTTTATATAGTGTGCTTTAAGGCAGAAAGGTTGGTTCAGTTCCACTATGTGGGTGACTTCCAAATACTAAACTGACTGGAAGAGTTAATGCATACACATTAAACTGCCTCAGTTTACTCATCTGCAAAGTGCATAGGTTAAACTCTGTTCCTCAGACATTCAAACTAAGATGCTCAGAGGTCTAAGATTTCACACCAGTACCTCAAGGATCACTGCAGAAAGTGAGGAAAAAGGCATCCAAGATGATATAATTCTGGGCCCTGTCTCCAGGACATTTAAACCAACACTGCTTTTACCTGTTGTATGTTCAACATGAGATACATGTGAAACAAAAAAAAAGGATTCTGCAAAAAAGAAAAGAGTGAAAGCTTTATTAAATAAAATGGAATATAAATCAGTGTTCCTTAACTTTTCATTTTTTATCACCCCCCCAAAGAGTCTTTTAGACATTTTTCCCAAATCATCTCCCCCATGAAATTTTAGTATCTTAGATATACTATATATCTGTTTATGTACTATATGTACATCAGTGCTTTATACATAAAAAGAGACTATTTCTTTGTCCCCCAAAACCAATTTTCATAATCTTAGGGTGGGGTAGCAAGGGTAATATCATTCTTCCACACGCTAAATAATCCACTAAATAACTGAGAGACTTTGAGCTACTTAATTATCCTCTGAGACTCTCTCTTTCCATTTATAAAACAGGGGAAACAATTTACAAGCATGTTATCAAGATTGAGGTAATATATGAAAGGGTTCTAGCAAAGTGCTTGGTACATATTATTTATACATGCTCAATGATTTTTTTTTTGCTACCTTGAAAGTTCCATCTAGTCTGACATTCTATGAAATTAGAATTCTATTTGGATATTCCCAATTTAAACATAAAAAACAACCTCTCACAATCCCACCGCTATCAACTTCTCCTCCCAACTGCCAATGTGCAAATGCACCAGCACTATTCTTTTGTATTCTAGGCAGAAATCCTTAAAGTTCTCTTTGATTTTTCCCTTCTCTTTGACAAATTACACCTAATTCAAGATGGTACAGAGTGAACAGGGAGCACCAGCCTCAAAAAGCTAGAAAGGAAAAATGCAATAGTTTGCCCCTCTGAGAATTAAACTAATTAAATTAACACAATGGGAAGAAGGGGTTTTTTTTGTTTGTTTTCTGAATTAAAGGACCAGTAACTTTGACTTCACTAGTATATTCATCTATGTAAAGAAAAATATTCATCAGAAGTTTGGTGGTCAGAAATTGAAGGGATAAAAAAAAAAAAATGAGACTATCCCATGGACACCTAAAATGTAACACACTACAAAACCGAACTCAGCATCCTTCTCCCTACACCCGCCTCACCCAATAAACCCACCTCACTGAATAGCAACACAGCCTGCCCAGTTACCTAAGCAGAAACCTGCTCCATTTCACAGCCAGTCTCTAAATCCTGTCAATTCCTCATCCTTTAAAACCACTCAAATCCATTCTCTCCGCACCACTGCCCTGCCTCAGAACAGGCTCTGCCCCTGCTGACACGGATGGCTGGGCCGGCCTCTCTAACTGCTTTCTCGGGCTACACTCTGATCCCTCTAAGGCATTCTGCAGGCTGCCGCCACACTGCTCTCTCTGAAAGGGATATCTGATCATCTATGTAACTCCTCTGCTTTAAAATCCAGCCACTTCGCGTCACACCCCTTCAATACCTCAGAAGAATGAGGGGAAGGGAAAAACCTCTCCAGGAGAAACTGCCACAAACCAAGTTGACTAACATATAGGTAGCAGAGCTGGAGGAAGCCCCGCCGCTCCGAGCGAGCTCTGCCGCTGCTGGTCCCACTACTGGGGGACGACGCTGGTGCTGCTGAGCCCCAGCGGGACAAACCGACCCCGGTCCACACACAGGAGAGACAACTCAGGTTACCACTTCCGCCGCCGCAGATGCGCATCCGGCCCTGGTGGTTTCCGGTGCGGGAACTGAGGGACCCTTTCGGGTTCCATCTGGAGGCATGGCAGGCGGGCCCGCTTTTTGGCCCAGCCGGAGCCGAGCCGTAATTCCAGAAATGGAGCGGGTGAGCCAGACCCCGCTGACGGTGAACATAGTGGACTCCCGGAACTTAAGTCGAAGTCACTGTCTTCGGACAGTCCACTGTCCAGAATCAGGTGAAGAGCACACTCATAGGCCTGGCGTGGTTCTTTGGTTTCATGGAGAACGTCGAGCCCGAGCTGAGGAGATGAAACGCCTTGAGAACTTGAAGGCCCCTGCCTCAGTTTCCCACACTCCCCAGCACGCTATTACTTAAAGGCAACGTAATTGTCAGGAGCACTATGAGAACAGTCCTGTTTCTACTAAAGGTAAAGAGAAGCAAGTACGGTATTCCTAAATGTCTGCATTCCTTTTTCCTGTGTCTTGATGAATAGTGGTTTATTTTGTTGCAAATATGAGTTTGTAGAACTACTCTGAAAAAGAGATGGATTTCTATTTTGTCCAGAGGCAAACATTTTTGCTCACTTAAAGCAAATTTATAAATAAATTAAAACAATAGGTAGCAGAAAAACCTTTTGACTAGTTACTTGATGTCATGCGACTTCTACCTTCTTTTGAAGTTAACAGAAACAAACTTGGGCCTAGCCTAGGAAAAGGAGGGATCCCTGAGTTTAGCAAGTTTTATGATATACTTAGCCAGTCTCCCACAGTCAGCAGAGACTTTTCTCTACACTTTAAGAAGATGTTTACTTTTTCTTCCTGAGCACGAAGAAGAGACCTGCATTCCAATAAGTCAGGAATTCACTCAGTTTATTTTCAGTGCCAAAATGTTTTTGATAAAGTTTTATAAATAGTTTTTTATTCTGCTATTTTTATAATTAGGAAGCCCAAGTCATAGTTCTGTATCGTTTAAATTACCATTGGGGCTGGGCCTGGTGGCTTATGCCTGAAATCCTACCACTCTGGGAGGCCGAGGCAAGAGGATCGTTTCAACTCAGGAGTTCGAGACCAAACTGAGCAAGAGCGAGACCCCATCTCTACTAAAAATGTATAGAAAGAAATTAGCTGGACAACTAAAAATATATACAAAAATATAGCCAGGTATGGTGGCACATGCCTGTAGTCCAGCTACGGGGGAGGCTGAGGCAGAAGAAACTTGATCTCAGGAGTGTGAGGTTGCTGTGAGCCAGGCTGATGCCAGGGCACTCTATCCCAGGCAACAGAGTGAGACTCTGACTCAAAAATAAATAAACAAATAAATAAATAAATAACTGTAGGGTCATGCAACACATGACATTTCAGTCAATGCTGGACCACATATATGGTCCCATAAGATTATAATACCATTTTTTATTGTATCTTTTCTATGTTTAGATACAGAAATAATTACCTTTGTGTTACAATTACATACAGTATTCAGTACAGTAACATGCTGTAAAGGTTTGTAGCCTAGAAGCAACAGGCTATGCCATATAGCCTAGGTGTGTAGTAGGCTATACCATCCAGGTTTGTGTAAGTACACTCTACAATGTTCACACAATGATGAAATTTCCTAACTACATGTTTCTCAGAAGGTATCCCTCTTGCTATCTGTGCATAACAGTGTTTATGTTCTTCATTTCCCTAGTTTTAATTTTACTGTAAAATCCCTCCCCAGTTCTTCAGTTTAGACCTATATCATCATCTCTTTCTTCTCCTTTTCAATATAATATAATTTCAAGAAACCTTTTCCTTTACTTCAGATTATGTCTTCATAAATAAGTCTCCAAAATTTTCCTTTTCTTAAAGGCAAATGCTTGAACCTAATTATCATCTCACCATATGGTTTCTCTTCTCTTCTTTATTCCTCAAAACTATCACGCAGTTCTTTCGCAATTGCTATCGAAATTCATCTGACCTCTTCCCATTATATTTGTACACCTCTAAACTTACCATCTGTCATTGTCCTTCAGATGGTTACTAAATTCTGAATTCATTTTAAGGTCTTGCCATTCTATAACTCAATTTCTCACCTCTCTCAGTTATATGATTCCCTAAGCCTAATTTCCACTTCTTACTAACAGGAGGGAGTGAACTGTTATAAACAAAATAAAACATCCTTTGTGACAAAGAAGAGTTGCACCTTACTCGTTCCCTGAAAAGTGGTAGTTAGCAAGGACAAACTACACTGGCAAAGGAAGAAAGGAGGAGCCACTTGAAGATACTGAAAAGACAATTCTAGTATACCATGCCCCTGTTGAAGTCCTCTGGGGAGATGAATACCTAGGGAACTTGTCTTAGTCCATTTGGGCTGTTATAACAAAATGCCATAAACTGGACACTTATAAACAATAGAAATGTATTTCTCACAGTTCTTCAGGCTGGGAATTGTATGATTAGGGTACTGGCAGATCTGGTGTCAGGCAAGGGCCTTCTTCTAGTTCATAGACATCTGCCTTTTTGCTGTGTCCTCAAATGGGGAAGAGGCAAGAATGTTCTCTGGGGTCCCTTTTATAAGGGCACTAATCCTGTTTATGAGAGCTCTGCCTTTATGCACTAATCACCTCCCAAAGGCCCCACCAAAAAAAATCACAAGACTGCAGAAACATGTATTAGCTTCCTTCAAATCTATATTAAACCTAATGTTCAGGCATAGTCTGTTTTCTTTAGTAACCACTTATTCCTCTGTCCTTAAGACATTCTCCCAAATTTTTTTTTTTTTTTTTTAATTATATAGTACTTCTGCTTTGACCTTTCTAAACTGAGATTTCAGAGCACAGGACTTCATTTTGATATGAAGTTCATATCCTTCAAATTTGAAGTTCATATCCTTTCTATCTAATTAATAACATAGGATTTAAGGCAGTTTGCACATGTCCTCTTGTAGTCTTCACTCTTCCAGTGGGAAGAATTCCCATCTTTGAGTTCTATCTTGATACAGCAGCACCTATTCCCTTCACGTGTTTTGGTTGATCATAGATGGATTTTTCTCTACTTCTCTATATCTTTGCTAACATATGATAACAAGTACCACAAACTGAGTTTCAGATGTAGATGAACCATGTTTTTATATGACAGTGTGATACTGTTTTATTTTATTTTCAAAATATGCAAATGTGAAAATATACCCAGTTCTAGATAGATGGTTTAGCTATCAATGGCTCATTAGTTCTTTTCAAAATAAAGAACTTTTTATAGTAATATGATGTATATAAAAGCATTTTATAATCTGGACATTTATATCTAAAAATATAAATTATCATTGTCCCTGGTATGTGT